GCATGTGCACAGAGAAAGAAGAAGAGCCCTCAAAGTTTGTGATGTTAGAGTCACACTTGGTACATGTGGTACATCTCTTCCCAATAATATAACTTCCCTGTAACCTTTACATGTGTTCTGAGTGTCACTGTTTTTCATTTCAAAACTACCTAAATTCTGCTGATGCCATTACTGTAAGACCACAGATTAACTAGCATCAAAAATATACTTTTCCTTTTGTAAGAGTTATGTAGTTTTGACTTTGAAAGCAGTAATTTTTGTCAGGGTTGTTATACTTTATTGCACAATACATGAATGGTAAGCCTCTATGTTGAATTCATTAAATTTCAAAATTAAGTTCTCTCTCCTACTGCTCTCTTTTAGATGAAATATGGTCATAAGATAAACTGCAAGCATTACAATTTGCCACTTAGCAGGTGTGCAGATGTACAGCCAGTGAGTTTTCAGGACATATGGCAATGAGCAGCTAAGATTAGAAGCAAGTTTTAAATATTGTACTTCAAGCAGAAAAAGATGCTTACACTTCATATTGAATAATTAATCTAAGAACAACAGCTAAATGTGATTTAGTCCCAACACTCTCACACTCAGGCTGCTTCCACATGTGGTGTGGATGTTTGGTTCCCTGGGGAGAACTAGCAGTGGCGCACCTTGGGCCGCTGGTACTTGTCCCCCAGGAATGCAAGTTACCCTGGGGGCACTAGGGGAAGCTTGGGCCAGCACTTGGCTGGCCCCAGCAGCCTTATCTGGGGGCCTCCCGGGGCTGCAGCAGTGGCGATTCTGCCATGCAGAGCTTGGCTGGCAGCTGCAGTGTGGCTCTGGGTGGCCTGGCTCTGCTTTTGTGCGGTCTACTCTGCCCATGCATGTGCTGTTTTGTGTTTTTTTCTCTGCATGTTTTTTTTACCCCTGGATATTCACAGCTGCGCTTGTCTGGACTCAGCCAGAAAGTTTTGCTTGTGTTTCTACATTAGAACAGTGCATAAAACTAAGAAAATGAATGTTAATGGAGTGTGTACATAAGTAGTTAACACATCTATATTTAGTTAAAAGGTTTAAGGAAATGGACTAGTGACAGCTCTCATTTCTGAAATAATTTAAGATATATTTCTTCAGTACCCTAATAGCCTGTCTAAACAGTAAAATGTACTGCGTTGAGGAAATGTATTATAGATATCTGAAAGATATTATGAATGAACAAGCAATATACTAAACTTTTCTACTTAATATTTTGTTTTCTACTTTTATCTCATTCTTCATATGAATGTTTCTATGATAAGGTCTTTTGAGACCAGACTTTAAGGTTTCAATGGTACCTCACAAACTCTTGGCTCTACGTAAATAAGATGAAGCAGGTTATCTGCCTAGACCCTGGAGATTCAACAACTTTTTTGGATCACCTTAAAGCCAAAAACCACAACCTAGTTTCCTCCTGTGGGTTGATCTTCCCAGACAAAGAATCTCCATAGGGCACTGTGATGTACCATATGTTAGAACTAGAAGTAGAATAAAACATAGCTCACCAGAAGCACTAAATGCCATACAGATTAGGAAACCAGACTAGCAGGTGGTAAAGAAAAAGATGAATTGAGGGTTTATCGTGTTCAGGCCAGTGTTTTCCTCTGACTTTCTGTAACTTGTATAATCCCTTTGTTAATGCTTACTTAAGTCAAGGTGTACCTAGCAAGAGGATCCTTCTGCCCTTAGAACTTAAAAAGAAGAAAAAAGGGGCCTACCTCAATTTCTTGGTATGAGCTGTTGATCATAGCAATCAACATGTTGAGCAGAACTACAACCATTGTTACGTTGTATATGCCATACAAAACATAGCCAATATTCTCAATGAATTTATGATCATATTTAAGGACAACTGAAGTCACTTCAGACAAACCAAATATCGACCAAAACAAAGTCTTGAAACTTTCTTCAACTCTGAAAGAAAAAACCGAGAGCAATGTTACTAATTATATAAAGAAACAGGCACTTCTTATGACAAACAGAGTAAGTGTTAATCTCAAAAAAATTCTGTTTGGGATTCAGGCCTACAGGGGATACAAAAAATTTAAGAAATAAAATTTCTGTTGCCAATCACAAGAGTCCTTAAAGTGTCTCTCACTATTTATACAGGTAACATTCCTATTGATGTCAATGGAAACTTTATTTATGTATGGAACAGAGGATTGAGCTCTTAGGTCCTTATGTTCTGAGGTTCTACAATGCCTGAACTCCCATCAAGTTCAAATGTCTTTAACTAATTATTCTAGGAGTTGAAATCACTTGGCACTTCATAGTCTTATTGTTTTTTTAAGCATAACTTCATACTTACGTTGTAAAAGCAGGGTTTACTTTAGCTCCAAGATAGTAGGAGTACAGTATAAACATCCCAATCATAAATGCAAGAAATACCATAATGAAAAGGACCATAAACTTGAAAATGTCCTTTACAGTCCTTCCAAGTGAAATCTGCAAGGGCCCAAAACTCTCATTTGCAGGCAGGATATATGCAATCCGAGAGAAACTCAGCACGACAGCTATGGCGTAAAGGCCTTCAGATATTATCTGTGGATCAGACGGGAGCCATTTGTCTCTGGCTGGAAGACATGAAATGTGGGGTAAATAATAAAATTTTTCATTTATCACCATGCTTTAAATAACACACCCAACACATGGGACTTTCCATGCTCATCTGTATATCTAGTAAAGACAAATGTTTGCAGAAACTAATAGCTGCTACTGTATTACTATTAGTATTTAAGTCATAAATAAATCATTTGAATTGTATCCTTTTTCCTTGGAGGAGAATTTATGGTGTAAAATAGACATGATAATCTTTTCAATAGGGTGTGTTGAGAGTTAGGCATGGACATTAATGAGGCTGTACCCTACTATAGGATGAATTTTTTAATATTACTACTCATAGATTTATTGCTGTTATATAATAATGAAAAACAGTAATACTATTTGAGCATTTCTGTATCTTATAAAATTTTCCCAAATAAAACAAAAATTATTAGTATTTATTTTTAAATATCCTCTAATTTGTATTTCTATTTTTTATCATTTAACTTGCATAAGTATCACTTGGGTCTTCATAGCTGTTACTTATCATTGCTCAGTCCCCATTGTAATTGGACACTATATTTCAGCCTGTTTTTATTTCATAATAACCAAGGACCTCCAGTTTAATAAGATATAGGCACACTTATCTGTTCTATAAAACAAGATAGTACCTTACAAACCACATAAAATATTCATTAAGGAAAAATACTTCCATTAGGATTAGAATGGAAATTAAATTATTAAAATAATGATTATGCCCCCATTGAAGTCAACGAGATTTATTGCTACTGATCTCAATGGGAGTAAGATTGTGACATCTGCATACAGTATGAGCTGAAACAATATGTGTTATATGAAATGTCATCCACTGCAAAATTTCATCTTATCACCTCATACTTAGCAAGAATTAAACAAGATTAAAATGTGTTTAATAAAAATAAGTGTATGCATACAGGTATGCATATGTGTATGTATACATGAATATTCAACTTGATTCTATAACAGTTATCAAGCCCTTTAACATACAGGAGTTTCTGAAGTGCGCTGAAATCATTGTCAGCAGCACATGTGGGCTACCTTCTTGTGAAATCCACTAAAAGTGTAATTCCACTACAATCTAAGTTAGAATTTCTACACTGAAATAATAAACCTGGGACCAGAATTTCTCTGTAACCAATAACATGGACAGAGGACCACATATGCCAGTGTAATTTACACGAGCTTGTGAAGTAGTATAAATTAGACCAGGATCAGGAACTGACAAGTGTGCTTCTTCTCTGGGGTACCTGACCCAGCTTTTACAGCTTCTTGCCACTAGGTGGAAGTGATTAGGCTAATGGCAACAGTATGTAATTTAGCTATGCCAGCTTAAATTTGGTACATGCTTTAAGCAGGTATCACCATTTTTAAGGTGCATATAGGCAGGCATGTGTGAACACACACGCTTAATGTACCTCAAAAATGGCAATTTTAGGCTAATCCCACTAAAAAGGGCCATGTGTAGACAAGCCCCCTTTTACCGGCATAAGGGACTGGAAACCAGTCTATACCCATAACAGAACAGAAGTTCAGCACACAAAGACTGGTTTAAAAATGGTGGAACCTGGTCTAAGATTTGTCCCCCTTGCCACCAAAGGGCAAATGTGTGTTCTGTTCACTGCCGATCTACACTACGCTGCTTACAGAAAACTGCATGACTTAGATCAATTCTGTCTCAGGCTTTCTGAATATCTGTACCTAGCCATACGATTATATCCATGATTTTTTCAGTTATTTTGCTTAGGAGTCTGCATTACCTATACTTTGGGTTTTTTTTATGTATTAAACTCATATAAACATTGTCTAGTCATATCACAAGCTTGGACTGACCAAGTTCTACTAAAAAGCCTAAAATGTTTTAGTTTAAGGTAACTAACTTAACAAAAATTATAATAAATGTATATTTTGTCAATGTTTTGGTTGTCCTCTGTAAATTTAATGACACTATTAAGCAAAATTAACAAAATGGAGTGTTGGGTGGGGGGGGGAAACTAAACTTCACACTTACTATGAACTGAACTTGACAAACTTTTGTAATAGCCAGAACATGACGACTATGGGTCGGACCAGCTCTGGTATAAGCAGATGGAACATCATTGAATGTATTGTTGTGTACAGTTAAAACTGAGCTGTATCTGGTCCTGATTTGTTTAGTATTAGTATGTCAGTAAATTATTTTATTAAATTAAGCATGATAACAAATATAATTAAGAAGTATAAAAATAAACACCCAAGACTGGAAACCTTTAGGTAAGTGTTATGAAATCCAAGAGCTGTAAGAACTGCTTCATGGCATTTGAACTCACCATAAGTAAAATATTCTATTTCTGGTGGAAGTGTGACCACAGAGAGATCACTCTCCTCAATGTAACTGTCCACGTATTGCTGTGCTTTTGTGGCCTGCAAAAAAGCTAGAAGCCTGGCTGTGAAAGCAGCAATGAAAATGGACAACATCCCAAAATCCAAAACATTCCATAACTGCAATATATATTCCCTGGGTCCTTCTAGCCAGAGCTCTTTGCATTCTGACCACATCATACCTGCAAACAGAAGGGAAAAAAACATATAGGTACTACAGCCAGTTCTGTCTCATTGAGAATTTTCCCCACCTACATAATCAGAGCTTCCAAGAAGGCTAGAAGCTCTCACTAGTAATGCTACAGAGTTGCTGTCTATTTCACAGGGCTATCCTAATTCCAATAGGACTGCAATTTTCAATACTTGAATTGATTCACAAATATCTGTAGGGTCAAAGTGCAGTTACCATGCACTGGCACTGTGATACTATAATATACCTAATACTAAATAGGAGGAAATGCTAAATAAGTAGCAATGTGCTAATGAAGCATAATTAAGTATAACTTCTTTTAGCACAGCGAACATCATGGTCTGATCTGAGGATGTATTTGCTGCAAAAGAAGAGTTTTAAAACATGGAACCAGAACGAAAGCAGCACCCTTCTCTGATTTCACTTACCCATTTATTCTTACTTAAATCTCCACAGTCAAAGGGATTCATTACTAGGGAAGGCCCAATCAGTAACATAAGGGTGAAGCAACCACAGGGGCTGCCTGCAGTATGACTTGACAGGAAGGGGAGGAGGGAGGGAAGAGGAGGGCAGAGTGGAGCAGGGCAGTGTGGAAAAAACAGCTGCCCTGGTCACCACCAGTGGCAGAGCAGCAGCCAGTAAGCAGCAGCCAGTAGTTGCTGCTGCTCCCATGTGTCACAGCATCCCAGGCCACCTGATTAAACTTCTAAGACCAACCTACAACACAAAATTCATGGGCAACCAAAAGCAAATGGCACAGTTAAAAACACGGGTTCTTTATTCCATAATCTTCTTTAATATTGTCTTGCATTTTTTAATGACTGTCATATAAGCATTTATACTACACCCATTCAGAAGCCAAGAGCCAGAGCCAGCCATCCCTGCTTGTTCTGTGTGATATTGCCTGGATCAGTCATATCCGGATGGTTCAGATCCTTGTTAGCCCATAGCAGGTTGCAGCATTAAAGATAAGCTGCTCAGCTGTTTGCTGCTGGCTCTACTTCAAAGGGCACTGTTGCAATCACCAGAAGCCCACCTGTGCTCCCAGGAAGCTGACTGGAGAATCTGTGCCATTTGAAATTAAAGCTGCAGTAAATATCTGGAGCAATTTACTAATCCTGAGTTGAGTAGCAACAGTACTCTGCTGCAGTAATATATACTCCCATCTAGTATGCATATCCTCATATTCACAGGGGGCGCGTCTACAGGAGATGCTTAATCAGCATAGTTTGCTGTGAAGTAAGCAGGTGCATCTACATGTGCACATGCTTACTTTGCAGTAAACTACCTGCAAATTCAAGTAGCAAATTTACTCAGCATTAGTAACGGTGCTATCGTGCTTGTGTAGATGCCTGATCAGGAGCAAAATCTGCTCCCAGTCAGCCATCCACCAGGAGATGGGAGATAGCTCCCTGCTCCCAAGAGCTGCCTCCTGCTGGGGAAGGGGGACATAGTTTCCGCTTGGGCTCCTGTGGCACAGCCCGCCCCAGGGAGCCCCAGAGAGCTCCAAGCTCCCTGCTCCAAGCTTGCAATCAAGGAGCAGGGGGCTGGGAAACCCTTCTCTCCCAGCCTGAACTTCACAGTCTTGGGGCTCAGGTTGGGAGACCCTTATCTCCCAGCCCAAGCCCTGTGACCACAAAGCTCGGGCTGGAAGATAAGGGTCTACCAACCCAAACCCTGCAGTTGCGGGGCTCAGGCTGGGAGATAAGCATCTCCCAGCAGTGGCCCCATGATTGCTGGGAGCTCTGTGCTGGTGGGGGCTACGGAGCTTGTGCAGAGTGCAGAGCTAGCAGGTGGGAACAAGATCCCTAGCCCCTGCCCTGCATGCCCAGGTGGGGACAATGTCCCCCTGCCCCAGCAGCAGGGAGCTTCCAGTCCCCGCTCCACACTCATGATCACAGAGCTGGGGCTGACAGCTTTTTTCCCAGCCCCCGCTCTACAATTGCGGAGCTGGGGCTGAGAACAGGCTGGGAGCTTGTTCCTAGCCCCTGCTCCATGATCACAGAGCAGGACTGGGAGCTCCGTTCATGGAGACATGGAGTCTCCCTGATTGGAACAATTCCCAGCCAGCCCCAGGCTGCATGGGGAAACACATTCAGCCCGGGGCTGGTTGGGAACTGTCCTGGTTAGGGGCAGGTCCTGGTCCTGTGCCCCAATCAAGTGATCATGGCACAGGCCTTGGAAAGAGTTGCGGGGGTGGGGTAAGTCCTAGCAAGCTAGCTGCTAGCTGCCCCCCTGGCAGACTGAGGTAGGGGGCTGGGACCTGCCCTCCCGCTGCAGGTCCTTCCAAGCCCTGCCCCTGATCAGGGAGCCAGGGCCAGGAGCTCCCTGCTGCTGAGGTAGGGGGACATTGTCCCTGCCGCAGCAGCAGACAGCCCCCAGGCCCAGGCAACAGCTCTCTCCTGAACCGGTGCTCCCTGCCAAGCCCTGGGATAGCGCCCAGGAGGAACCTGGAGCTTCCTCTGGTGGCAGCACAGGCTCACTGCAGGGCTGCAGGGAACTGGGAGCAAATTTTCTCTCTAATCTCTGCATGTGTAGACACCTACCCAAAAACCCTTACTCTGCAGTAGTTTACTGCACAGTAAATCTAGGCTGGAGTAAATGCGCCCCGGGGGGGTAAGGAATTTAACCCTATGAAAGATTCTCAGTGACCCATACTTAGAGGCTAGTCAAAATCATAGTGATTCTTCCTAGGTAGAATACTTTGGGGACATGCCAAAAGAGACAAAGGTGATGTAATCTTTTTTATGTAATCTTTTTTATGGTATATCTAGCTTTTGCAAACTATATCTAACTGAATACTTAAGGCAACTTACTGATGCTGGGAGGGGTGTGGCATGTGTGTGTTAAGAGATGCTTGCAGAGCACAGCGTGTGGGATGCAGAGGATTCCTGGAATGCCTCCCTAACACCAGCAGGATAGTGTCTCCCTGACACTTGTAAGATAGCAAGAAGTTCAGAAAAAGGTCTCATTATAATGCTAAAAATCACACCCCTGGGCAGGGCAAAAGTATGTTAATGAAACATATATGTATGTAAATGAAATACATGGCTAAAACATAGGTATAGAGACATGCTCAGTAGAGAACGTCTTATGTCAGTGGCTTGTAACCAATCACTGAGCGATACACTTGCAAACATATGTATAAAAGGTACCCAAAGGTAGAAACCGGTGGTGCTTGCTTTGCAAACGATTGCCAAGCACCCCTCTCTGCGCAGACTGGAAACAATAAAGATTAAGTTGGATCCTCCACCCCTGTGTGTTCATTGGCAATAGCGCACCGGGCACGAACTCACACTGTCCGTTGGGGACAACAAAGGCATGGGAATCCTCAGACCATTCTCATAAAACCAAAATACCCAATGAAAACAAAGATATGCTCAAATCAGGAGTCATTATGGGCTACAAAAGGATACAGGAAAAAACACCTTTATTTAGCTATAATATTTCCTCTTAATCCCCACTGCATTCAAAGTAGAGATAATTACAGTGGTAAGTGGTTTACACTTTTCCATGTTATGGTATTTAGTGTTCTGATTCTGTCATTAGAGCTAGTTTGCATGTTTTGACCACATAAAATGACCTCACCGTCATTCAGTACTTCCTTTTCAAAGTAGTAAATGATGGCGCACTGATAGTGCAGTAACAGCCTGTACTGCACCATGCATGTGGCACATGGTTATTTTTAGCTGCTACGGAGCACATTGCTATGGCTACATAGGTTCAGCATCACAGTTTTTGCCCGTGGACGCTATGTTGCCGTATTGCATTGCTATGGTGATGTAGCATCATGTGTAGATGAGCCCATTAAGTAGGAAGTAATGCTAAATAAGTAGTAATGTGCTAATATGCATGAACACTGACTCCTGACCTTCTGGCATATTGGTGTCTTGATGTTACTTAAAATAACTATGTTGCATTAAGACAGTACATTGTGTCATTCTTTCTAGCAACCGGGATTAGATGACCTTCTGAGGTCCCTTTCAGCCCTACTTTTCTATGCCTCTATCACAAATGCCAAAGTTTCAAAATACTGCAGCACGATGACTGTGAATCTCTGATTTTTTCATTTATTACACAGTGGAAAGATACTCTCTATCTTCTGATGAAGACAGTTGGCCATTTTATTCTTGCAAGTACATAAATAAAATGGCCCTTTCAAGTGAGCATAAAATAATATGCAGATGAAACCTTCTTAGCTTTCTTACTGGAAAACTAGAAATGCTTAAAACAAGCTTCTCAGCTGCTCCTGGGATCTAATTTATAGTTGCCTAAGTATGAATTGCTATAAGCTACTCTCAGCCTAGAATAGTCAGAGTGCAGAACAGTCCAGGCACTCACAGGACCTACTGCCCCTAACATGCTTCTTCTACCCTGGCAAGCCCTTACCTCAGGAGCTGCAAGAGGAGACAGCATAGATCTGTTTCTGCCACCCCTAAGCTAGGGTTTTCCTGTGAGAACCACTGGAGCAACATATGGGAGATGCAGTGAGAAATCAGAATCTTTTAGAATTTCCATAGATAAAAAAATGTAATTGAGATGAAAAGGTAGTATACCTACCAAGTACCCATATCATGATCAGCATCTCTGTCCAGGTGAACTGGGTAGTCTTGACCCTAAAGATCTGTTTAGGGTAATCAGTAACAGTGACATTTGGTAGCGTTGTTATGCCTTCAAATCTGTCTGAGGCATTGAACACCAACAGGCCCAGGAAAATAATGAAGGATGCAGCATGTGCCACAAATTTCATAAATGGACTTCGGAGAATTTTTCCAAGCTGCAAAGGCAAAACAAAACTAAACTCTTAGTTATGAAAGATACTGGATTTCCCTTGCATCATATACTTTAGAAATACAAAGAAGCACCTATAGTGAAAGATGGGCTGAAATTAAAATACCTGCTACTTGCTTAGAAATACCCTTCCAAGTATATTGAACAGCCATGGTCTGCCATTCCTGACAGCAGGCTCCCTATTGGGAACGATGTCCTACTGGTCAGTTTCTGTTGCTCCACTATCCCTGGAAGACAATATCAGCAGAGCAATATTTTGGGGAGGTATATCCACACTATGGGAACATTCACTGCTGTTTAGAAAGGGCCTGAATGGGTGTCCGCAGAAGTCCGTGGAGGGTCAGATCAGCCCCAGAAAAAAGTGGGTATCAAAAGAACACCTTTTCTACCAATGAGGAAGTACTCAAAGTGTTCAGGGCACTATTAGTTTGGCTTTGATTTTAATGCATATCCTGTTCAGCAAATCAAAGCATCAAAGTCAATTAATATCAGGCTTTAGGAAAAATAACTGTCTCCCCCATGGCTGATGTATTCAGAGCATGAAATATCTCCCAAACCAAGAATCTGTAAATGTTTGATTAAAACTAATTAGGAATACTGCACTACAACAGGGTAAGAAAAAAATTACGAAATGTTAATATGTTTAAACAAATTCAAATGGATTAATGCAGAGCTCTGTCCATCAAAGAATAGTGTTGCCAGATCCTGCTGCATTTGGAGTGAGTGGCTGAGCATAGCAGAAATGGCAGAGGTCAGTGGCAGTTCTCCTGAAGAAGGTGGAGAAAAGCTGCAGGCCTTCAAGAATGCTAAGAGAAAATATAATGAAGCTGCAATTGTGATTCCCCATAACAAAAGAAAAAAGAAGAGTGTCCCTAGCCCTGGCAGTGGCATAGCCTACCTCTATTGAAGATTCTACTGCCAATTTCCAAGAAGGGAACCTACTGCCAGTGGCTGCTGTGTCTCACCAACTTGTGTAATCAGTGAGAGCAAGCAGCAGGATTTTTTGGATGAGAGGTATTCAATGTTCCCTCTCCCTTTCACTTCTTCCTGGGCACTCACACAATCTGCTTCTAAGATTCTGGGCAACTGTGGACTTGAATATGCCATTTGTGTTGAACAAGTTGAAGATAATGTAGAACCACACTTGCTGGCCTGAGAGATGTCCAGGGGGACTGTACCTTTCAGAATAGTCTCTTTACCACCCATTTTAGCACTGTTGAGCATTACATAAACAGAGCAGTTTGTGATATCCACTATGTGTGACTGTAATAGTTCCTTGTTCCTGCACGAGATACTGCAAAGTTAGAAGCGTTCAAAGCTCCTTGCCCCACTGCTGCACCTTTTCTCAAAAGTACAGAGATGGTCTGGAGCCCTGAGTACAGCAATGGAGCAATATTATATTGTACTAAATTATCAGCTGTATTAATAACATAACACATATGATAATATTATGAATACTGGGGGGAAAGTGGTAAAACCCCATGTGAAGTATTGTATACTATGAGAGACATTTTTCAAAAAGAATCCAGTAAGTGAATGAGGAGTTGAAAGTAATTTTATGTGCTCCTGCCTGAAGCTGACCTTTAGGTTCTGATTTTTAAATTGCAATATTTATATTGCAATATTGCAAACCATTGATTTGTATGCACAATTCTTCTATTTGGCATAGAAAAATATCAGGTGTTTCTGGTGTTGGGAATTAACGTTCAAGGACAAATGTTACTTTTCCATATTAGATACAAACAAATAATAATGCGTTTGCATGATGTCAAGCTGCCAGGCAGCTGGGAGGAATACCTTTACTACAGCTGATCACAGAGGAATATTTGAGTAACAATTATAGCATTTCATAAAGATTGTTCTAAATAACAATCAAACAAGCAAACAAAAAAAAAGACTAGAAAGAAAACAGCCTATTCCCTACAAGCATGTATGAGGTGTGCAGAATCTTACCCTCTTTTAAAGATGAGCTGAAAAACAAAAAAACATAATTTGAGTGAAACGTGGATTTCTGTGCCAGATATCATCTCTGCATAAGCTTGCAGAGAGGGGGACAGGAAGAGATTCAGTAACGAAAGAATGATTTAAAAATATTTTTTTTAAAGTATTTGCTCTTTGTGAAGGCCTTTTATCTTGCTATATACATCTTACTGAAGAAATCCACCATTTGCTGACTTTTCACATACTACAGGCTTTCAGTGATACTTCTGCATTTTTGTTGTAACATCATCAGTAAACCTAGAAGCACCAGGATGTTCTCATGCAGGGAAACAATTACTATACGTTGAGTTAAAATGACATTCTTTTCTGAATGCACCTCCATACCTTGGTTAAAAAGCTGTATTTAATTTGAGTTTTGTTTTGCAATTCACCTTTGTAAGCAATCTGACTTAACAGTGCAGCAAAACCGAGTGCTAGAGTAAGGATTCAATCCTGTATCACTCAGGCCAGTGGAAGTTTTATTATTGAATTGTATGGGAGGAGGATCAAATCCTCACATACCAAATGAGAGAATATGATGCCATACACTTGGAGATATGCTCCTTAGTTCAAGTACACAGCTACATAGCATGGATCATGAAGAGAATAGGATCTTTAGATATTAAAACAAAACAAACAGTAACTGTAGCCTGAGAGACCCAGAATATCTTTACACATGCTCTGGATATGGGGTGAGGGGAAGGAGAGCTCCAAGAGCCGCTCTAATTAAAGTGCCTGCGGTGCCTGGTGTATTCAGCATCCCACTTTCAAAATGGCAGTGGGGACAGCTTAACTAAAGCTCGTTCTACAAGCTTTAGTTAAAGCGCCCCTGCCACCAGTCTGAAGTGCAGGGACACTGAATACATGAGATGTGGAGGCTGCTGGAGTGCATTAATTAGCATGCTCCAGCAGACTGAATCAATTGAGTCTACTTCTACATGCTCTAATTAAAATGTGTCAGAGCAGCGTCTCTGCACGTCTACAGGCACCCCCATTTTCTATCTTTATTCTTAAAGATGTTTCACTTGCCTACTGATCAAGTGGTGATCAGGTGCTGGAAGGAATAAGACTTCATACTAGTCCTTGATCAGTGTGGTCCCCTCTTTATAAAGTAATATACGTCTAATAACAAAATTAGGAGCAGGACCAGAGCTATCTAAAAATCCGATTAATCAGTTAAAATTCAGGGTGCAACATTATACTTCAGATGACAGTGACTGGAAAGGGATACATGAAACAGCATAAGGTGTTTTAATATGGAATTTATAAAAATCTGTACCCTGCTACATGGTGCAATCCAATAACCAATGGCAAGAAGCGGAAGGCCCAAAGCAACAACCAGCACAACTAGACACTTGATAGCTATGGTCTGTTCCCGTAATCCTGAGAGATTTTCATACCAGATAGTCAACAGCTGTTGCTGACAGTTTGGATGGGCCACAAACTATGAATGAAAAGAAAGAAAATCAAGGTTCAGTATAGTTTACATTAAGAGTTATACACATATTGCATTCATGATTAGCAAATATAAAATACTCTGTATAAAGTAAGACCTCAAGAAACATGCTGCCTTTTTTCCTTTCTTATAACTTTATTTATTAAAAAACCAAGACATAAAAAAGAGAGTAGAAATACCTCAGTTGAAGTAAAGAGTCAAATACTGCCTCTGGATGCAAATGTGGGCTGCTACCATTGACCTGTGTCTGAGAACAAGTTTAGTTCTACACTTCACTGGCTAGATCCTATCAGAACTGAGCCCTCTCATGACCTTGCGTAAACTGGTTGGCCCTGAGATATCAAAACTGATTCAATCTACCTCTAATTTGTCTATGGATCCCAGAACTTTCTGAACCTAGCTCACCTTCAACCCTGCATTCCACCTTTCTTATCCACACTCCATATGCTTCCCAAAAAGTCAGCCACCTAAATTTCCTTATGAAAGCTTTAACCACCTCTTCCACCAATTCTCTTATTTTAAATAAGAACTGCAAGGGAACAAGGCTGCAATATAAGATTTCAAAGTCTCCTGCTGGACTGAAGAAACCATAGCATCAGGTATATTGAAGAAGAATGGTATTATTATATATTTGAATCAGGAAGACATACTGCATCTTCCAGCCTGGCTTTTTGGGAGACATTTCAGACAAAACTATTCTGATGTTTTACTGAAAATGAATAAAAACTGCCATTATATAACACAAAAAAATTGCTCAAGAGTGGCGAAAAACCACTCTCTTGGTTTATGATGCTTCCAGAAGTCAATTTTTGTATTTCATGCTTTATTACCCATTATTCTAACATCATAAAATATATATTACAAACTATTTATATGCTTTCTCAATCCTTGCAGAAGTTCGTGACTAGTGCTACCTTAGATGAAAGATACTCTATGATGCTGTTTGATAGTCTTCCAAAAATTCTTTCTTTTATACTATTTTAAAACTATAAAGGTTCTTGATCATACAGATTGTTGTCACTGTGCAGTTTTCTGCTATTCTTAGACTGCTTTTGAGTTTTAATGAGCTGTTAACATCATAACAACACTTTACAGAGGCTCAAATAAAATCTGAGAGGTGTATGTTTTAACTAAAAATACAAACATTGGGTGTTTTTTTAGTTACAACAGAACTTTGATTTTAAATGAATCACTCATATGAGATGTTTCTTTTATCTTTGCTGAATAGTATACATTATTATTAACATTTTCAAACCTAAGTACTTAAAGTTAGGCACTTCAAACTCTAGTTAGGCATCTAAATAAGATTATCCAGATTATTAGAGGTGCTAAAAATATGTACATTTATTGTAATTTTCAAAAATGCTCTAAGTTGTTCTAACTCTCATCCCATTAAAATAATGGTGAAATTCTACTGAGAACATATGAACTCTCCTAGTTGTTAACATAAACATCAGGATGCTTGTTAGATACTGTCTTCAAGCAAGTTTAATTATCTTCTAGCTTCCATAACCTTTCTTCTAGCCCTCAGAAAGTGAGATATCCGGTGGGATCTATTTCCCGTTAATATGCTGGGATCTTTCATCTTTCAGCTGTGTTATAGTTAGCTGCAGCAAGCAGATACATGCATGTTGCTTTCATTAACTTTAATAAGAATCACCAAAACTCACAGAAAAGAGAATATTCCTCCAAAGGTAATTCTGCAACATTAAGGAAAGTTTGGTCACCAGTGAACTACTGACCCCAATTCTATTTTAATATCTACTACAAACAAACAGTGATACAAGAACAGAGAATGTAATTTAACTGAAGGATACTTTAATTTGTTTTATTAAGTTTTAAGCTTTACTCTAGTAAAATCAGTTGTGTTTTGGTTTTATTTAAAGATATATAGCCTTATGTTTGAATCCTTCATTCTGGATTTCTATCTTTTTCTTTCTTTATAATAATATTATTATTATTATTACCACATGCAGTGAGACATATCATGAGAGAGTAGTGTGCAATAGTTGGTTGAGCACAAGACCAGGAATATCATTATGACTCTAACAATGATTCCTTCTTTAGTAGTAGGCAATTCTGTCCCTCAGCCTAAGTGTCCTCTAGCTGTAAAATGAAGATAATATAACTTCTCATTCTTAGAAGAATGCTGTAAAGCTTAATTTAGTGTTTGCACTGCATTCTGAAGAGGAAAATACTGCAAGAGTGCAACATATGTTTACTGCTTAAATACTGCAAAGCAGTCAAACTGCCAATACTTGTCACCAAATTAGAGTAAGAAATTACAAGTCTTCACAAAAGAATGCTTACATTGTTGTTGTTGTGGTAACATTATATAGCATTCCTGTACCAACCCAGAAAGAATTAGCCAGAATCTGAAACAGCACATTGTTTCAGAATGTATGTTGGTTTGAAGAGTTCCTCACAATAAATATATAAAAAATAAACCCCACATCTCTAATTTATGCTTTGCCTTTATTGAGATCAAATGGTACCATCCAATGCTGCCTGCCAACTCTTTCCAGAAAAGTTTTGTTTAGATTTCAAATCCCATGTAAAAATGCCTGTAGTAAGTACAGTAGGATAGGCTGGCAATGAGGACAGGAAAATTCTAATCTCTTAGGCCGCTTGTACACGTGATGGGGGTTTAATCCCCTAAATTGAAATGGTGGGTTTTTAACTGCAATGCTTAAAAACCCACCGCTTCAATTTAGGGGCTTCCATGGCCATTATGGTGAGGGGCCCCATCCTTTTTTTTTTTCCCCTGAGGAGCCTGCCTGTCTCTCCCACAGCTGGGGAGTGAGTTGCCAGCAGGTTGAGCAGCCCCTGAGCTGTGGGGGGTCCTGGTCCTTCCCTCCATGGTGGCAGTGCCCCCTGGGGCTGCTAGCAGGCGGGTGGGCTGCTAGCTGCCCGGGAGTGCTGCCACCATGGAGGGAAAGTCCGGGCCCCCGCAGCTTGCCCTTGAAGCCGTGGGAGAGACGGGCAGGCTCCACAGGAAAAGAAAAAAGGATCAGGCCCCTCACTGCTTATTTTTCTTTCCCTCAGTGGAGCCTGTCTGCACACACTACCACCAGGCTGTGCAGCCCCTGAGCTGCAGGGGCAGGGTCCCAGTCCTTCCTTCTGCAGTGGCAGTGCCCCCCGGACACCAGGCGGGGTGCTAGCCACGTGGGTGCTGTCTCAGCTCACAGGCAGCACCCGCCAGATCCGACTCTTCTTCTGGGGGACCCCCAGACTCAGGCCAGGGAGTGAGGGTGCTGACAGAACTGCCAGCCGGTGCCCGCCCTGAGATTGGTGCTGGCTGGGGGTGGGCGTGCCAAGAGAAGCACTGGCAGCACTTCCAGTTTTGCCGCGGACACTTCCAGTTTTGCTACCGGTGCTTCCGGGGTCAGTGATCGGCCACAGGGGGACCCCCAGACTCAGGAAGCACCAGTTGCCCGTGATTATGTACGTGCCCTCTTGCCAGACCTTCTGAGAACATTTTAATTAAAAGAGAGGCTGTAGCCACAGTAAGATTTCTTTCTCCAATTAAAATGGGAGGGAGGTTTGTCCTACATTTTGAATGCTTTTTGTAGGGAGAGAAGTAGTTTTCAATATTGTAGCTGTTCAACAGCTAGAAAGGCCTCTGAATTCAAGTAGGTAGGAAACCTACCTCAACCCTAGTTTAGCCATACCATGGGACAAAAAACAGTCAAGTGCAGTATGGTTTTGTGATGGCTCTCTGCTCGGAGATAAATTATCACCTCTAACGATAACCTTCTTGTGGAAAAACCTGCAGTGCTCAGCAGG